TTTTTTTTACGAATTGGTCAAACCCAAACTCAAACAAAAACATTGTTTTCAATCGTTATGAGTCTATCGATTGAATAGAATTTTATTATAAACAATTGTCTTGTAAATGGAATTTTAAAAGCATTCTGAATGTAAAAATAAAGAAAGAAGTGTGCATGACAATAAGAAACACTACCTGCCAAAAAGAGTGAGATTTTGTTGAAATCGGTTGAAAAATGTAAGAGATCGGATCCCATATATAAACACACAAACACACACACACACACAACCTGCGTTTTATAATAAGTATAACTCGATATGAGTTGTCCCCCTTTCATTCCGCAAAAGGGATGCTTCTTAATCGTGTTTTCAAATTGATTTCGTGCAAAAACAATTATGTTTTTCCAATTTTTGGCGCTGTTAGAACCACCGCAAGGTAATTTTACGTAGTTCTGTGAAGTTTTCTTGAAATCGGTTGAAAAATATAGGAAATTCGGTCCAATATATAAGCTAACACACACACACACACACACACACACACACACACACACAACCTGCGTTTTATAATAAGTATGATTTGTCCGCGGTTATCTCCCTTTAACCCCTCCTTTTTTTTCCTTTTTTTTTTTTTGTAATTTTTAAATGTACTTTTTATAACATAAATTTGATGAGGCGCGGACAAATTTTAATTCCGAAAACGCAGCCCGGGGAGAAAAGGTTGGGAATCACGGCCTTAATTGCTAGGGCTTGCTTTATTTGAACTTTTTCTTTCTATTCAGAATTTGAAATATGCAGCATTAAATAATTTTATGCATAAATCTTATCTGGATTTTTCATTATAGTCATTATGGCAAGAATTATTTATTTTCATGACAGCCGGTTTGGGCGCGCACTGGTTTTGTTTAAACTATTAATCACGCCAGAAACTGTAACCCGTTCAGCATAGTTGCAGTATAAACCACAAGCAGAGTATATGAGTGTTGAACAAACACCAATGTTGCCAAGCAGGCGTCTGCAACAGAGATGACTGTCCACCCTAGAAGACACATATACTCGAAATCGAGCGGTCAACCATTATTCGAGTTAGTATCTCCATCTTTGTTTTATTGAGCTTTGAACATCTTTATATAAGTTCTCATTATCCTCTGCATTTCCCGACTTATAATTGCTGTTCTGTTCCTTAATTTTGATACGCACTGAGAATGCACTCTAGTAATTTCTTCCGTTAATACACAAAGTCGCAAAACTTATCCAAGTAACTTGAAATGCCTTACAACACACCTCTCAGATATGTGGAGTATATCTGCGATATCCCGTGTTGTGTGATCAGGATTATTTTTTAATCAGCGTTGTAATTTGATGATCATTATCGACTGCAGGTCTGCAAAACATTGCCGCTTATGAAAAGGAAAATTTCGACTTCTGAACCTATGAACTATTCTATCGGCTATGGCACAATGTCCATAAATAGCACTTACATTTTAGATTTTTATATAGTGTTTTTGCTTTGTAGAAATAAAAAAGTACCAAATGAAACAATGCTTAAACGTAAAAAAAATCATGTAAAATTCACAATTTACATATGAACCGTATATAAAGACTCTTTGTAATACCACCTTTCAGAATACACACACACACACACACACACACACACACACACACACACACACACACACACACACACACACACACACACACATATATATATATATATATATATATATATATATTTCATTGGATTATGGCTCGGTATAAGAAATCGGAGAACTAATCGGGTTCATTACATTTACTTACACGCAAATATCCTTTAGCAAGGTATAACTCCATCTCTTCTCCCTCCAGCTATGGGTTGAATATCAGAACAGACTTGGTCCTATAAGCCTTGGTTGGCAACCAGTCTACCGCAGAAAGAAAAGACTTTTCTTTAATTATCATTATTTTTTTTTTTTTTGCAACAGATGGATTTAACCACAAATTTATATATATATATTTTAAGGCATATATGCATATAATTTTCATCAAATATATGAGAACATTTTTATTATTATTGTTGTTGTTAAAATTGTCTATTTTGAACCAATAAAAATAATAAACAAAACAAAATGTCATAATAAAAATTATGACAAACTGGATAATTTCTTGTGACGCGTTTCATACGTTAGGATTTTATTGGACAGGGCTTTGTTGATGTTGCCACGTATTTTTTCTAAATACTGTTTGCTGATATATAACAAATATAGATAATATATAAAATTATACAAAAGTATATATCATTATATCATATATATACACGGATGAAAGACGTGAAAAGAAGTCAGTGTATCATATAAACAAACGCCTATTTTGAAAAATTGCTTAGCATGGCTATGAATGTTATTTTTATGTATATATGTATATACCATATACAAATATAAAAACTACTGATTTCAGGACAAAATATATACAAATATGTAAAAGTTTATACTGAAATTAATATTTGTTATATTTGTTGTTTATCTTGTACACGTCGGATCGTCTTTCTGTCTACATCTGTGTCCCCAGGAACATTTCTACGTGCCGTCCATAGGCCTCAAATTCTATACAGATGTGGTCGTAAGTCAAAAGTTACGATAGATATTCACACATATATCTTCGTTTTTACTGAGCATGCGCAAAGCCAAAGATGATTTCTTCTTTTTCTTCATCATCTTCTTTTTTTTTCTATTTTTTTTTTTTTTGGCTTTGATTGAAAACAAAACCCAATATGTATGTGAACACTTCGTGGAATCAATCTGTTTTCGCGTGCTGAGTCAAGTCACGAACAGCCCCGTAGTTTATACCGTGAGAATCGTGTCTTCACTTCATTTTGGTCGATCTTCGAAACCAAGTGAGTTAAAATTTATTTAGTTCATGTTATCCTCATGTGGTTGGCATCTTGGTGTACAATGGTGGCTTGCAAACTGACCTTGCTGTTCAATCCATAATTGTGACCGTTTCTGATATTGAATAAATATCTTCATATTCATATGCAAAAGGTTGATTAATAAGCATTTTTCTTCAAACTACTGTAAGGGTTCAATCCTCACAAGGTACTTCATTATTAAAGCCTTATGCCAGACTTATACGGTAATATAATGAAGTTCCGGTTAATGATAACACGTGCGGACTAACTCGAGATTTGATTCTTTCATTGCCTTTTATTCAACACCTAACTCCGTCCATTACTCTTGACCAGTGTGTGGTGTGTGAATACTCACAGTTTCGAGTTCAGTAGAGAATTGAAATATGCTAAAAGGTGAAATAGTTTACATGATGTTGCTAGTATGGATTGACAGCATCTTGCATGCAAAACAAATAATACTTAAATATTTTATATACCAAAAGGTACTAAGAAATTCTTGGCCCAACGCATTTTTCAACATCAGTATTCCGATGTTTGGAGATGAAAATATTGATTTTAAGAAGCGGGTTGTGCTGAAAACTTTTTCCCTCATATCGTTTCTTCCGTTTTGTATTGTAAAAAAATAAAGTTAGTAGATATAAGACATAATTTCTTACGTAGGGTATTTTGACTTTGTCTTGCCGTCGTGGTTTCTTCATAGTAAAGTATGTTTGGCCTGAAAGCGATTTCCCAAATTTCAAAGGTAATAAACTTTCAGTCCCTGTTGGAAAGCACATTGTAATGAAATTGGTGTGCCGGTTAATAAGAACACGTGCGGACTAATGAAAACATGAATTTACATTTTATTCAACTCCTAACTCAGTTACTCTCAACCAGCAGACCCTACATTTTTGACTGATGTCTGACAGATACTGTCAACTTCATCTCTGGAGCGGTATATCTGTTGATTCCAATCTCTATTAAGAATGACTGAAAAAAATACTTTACCCGGCCAATTTTATCGGCAGAAGCACACGCATGTATGCTTGGATATTTTCTTAGGCAATAAAATAGGCCGGTCCTCGGTTTCATATAGTGCAGTCCCGATCTGTTTTGAAACCAGAATGCTACGTTCGCTTGTCTGGACTTGATTTTGTGTGTCTACGCCAATTCATAGTTTGTGAACTTTTTGCCATATTACTGTTAATTTACCTTGGATGATATGACAGAAAGAGAGAGAGAGAGAGAAAGTCGGTGAAATGTAAATAAGTGTTAATTAACGAAGCGTAATGAATTGATTAGGAAGCGAGGATTTTTTAATAAGAATTAAGGATAGTTCGAGTGGTAATAAAATTGAGGCTATGAGTAACTTGATGGAATTAAGAGATTAACTGGAAATATTGTTAAAGTGAGTTGCTTAAGGAAAAGGTTGAAAAAATTCTTCTTATTATTTTCTTTTTAGCTCCTGTTTTTTGTGGACGTAAACAATGAAGGGCCAGACATCCTGGCGACCAAAAGTTCCGGACGAATGACTGACCATTGGTGGAGAAGTTAACGCGTCCTGGCGAAAAGGCTAGACGGAAATACGTGTGCGGTCATGTTGGAAATGACCAGAGGAAGGGGGAGTCGAAGGGTGGCAAATAAGGACAATTCTCAGATGACGATTAGCTGTCCCGAGACTGCCCGGAACTATGTGGGTGACCAGGATAGAGTTAAACAGAGGTAAGGGGAGTCGAGAGTAGCCGATAACGACAATTCTTGGATGGTGAGTGGCTGTCCCGTTCGGGCCCACCCATGGGGGTGTAAGTGAGAGTGTCCACTGGGAGGAAGCGAGAGGGGAATTAGGATTAGTAAGAAGATACAAGTTAGGCAGGCTGCCGGTGATTGGCCGTAGCATTTATGCATGGGGAACCACAAAACCCCCCACACATTTTTGCTATAAGCAGGGGTTTGCGTCACGAATGATAGAGTCGTAGAGAATTGAGCAATGTGGTTAGAAGAGTGACAAGAGAGTCACAGAGATTAGCGTTCAGCAGTAGAGCAGGGAGTGACAAACAGGGCAGCGAACAGCAGAATTGCGGAGAGTAGAGTGAAGTCCGTGAAAGTTCCCGAGACGAGATCGTAAAAGCAGTTGTTAACAGAGTGCAAAGACCTGATATGAATGAAGTGGAAGGCCCTGTTGTATAAGCGAGGGCGATATTCGCAATATTCACGTAAGAAATTGGAACGACAGAGAGAGATAACCTGATACACAGCCGACTCTCTCTCTCTCTCTCTCTCTCTCTCTTTCTCTCTTTCTCTCTCTCTCTCTCTATCCTTAATTTCGATTCTGCCTGTATTTGGTTTGGTTTAGTTTGTTTTACGACACATCAACCTCAATGGGTTATTTAATGCCGACAACATTTTTATTTCTGGTAATATTTTTTCTTCAAAAATGTATTGCTGGTAATAAATTTTTTTACACAGTATTCCTGGTATTAAAACCTATTTTTACACTTACATAGTGTTTTAACCCCATTTTGGGGCCTAATAAGTGCTACCACTTTGGGTCAGGGTGGATCTGGGAATACCAGCAATTAAGAGGTGGTTCCACGCTCCTCAAAACTTCCTGATCAGACGCCTTGCTGTTGGACGTAGTTTATCGTCTTACCCAGGACGCAGATGTAGTTTATCGTCTCACCCAGGACGCGGATGTAATTTATCGTCTTACACAAGACGGAATTCTGCTTGTATATAAAGATTTGAACTCTATTGAAGCGACTTCGGTCTTTCTTCCACCATTATTTTTATCGTAATTTTTTTTTTCCTAATATACCCTTGTCCCACCCTCAGCGCTCTCAACAGACCCTGTCGGTCCAGGATCGACGAAACCACTCTTCAGCTCAGAAAATTCACAACGTGGGTGGAGAGTGAATTGTTGTCACTTGTCCCGATATAAATCTGCTTGGCCTAACGACCGGACCCTCAAGAGTCGAGTGGGTGATGGGCGTAAGGGGTTATATATATATATATCGTTTGCTTTCTTTATATTATTTTTGGCCCTCTTTCTTTCTTCTCTTTTTCTTGTTATTACTTATTGCAAAATTTGTCAATTCTCTTTGTTGGTCACTTCTGTTACTTATTTTGCATTTGATTATGGCTACTCATTCCACAATATCCATCTGTTCACACGTAGGTAGTGACCTTTCGGGTTAGCAAGCCCGACTGGCGTCAACTCAGTTCAACCCTTGCACCTAACATCCTATGACGGTCTGGTGTGAAATTGTGTTCAGCATGATCTGGAGTGACTCACACATTAGAGAAAGTTTTGAAACACAAACAAATTGCCGTTTAGCAACAAAGTCTCGTCTCGGACACAAATTTAGTAGTCCATGCAAACACCGCTAGAATCAATACAGTGTTGCCAACGACAACAGCAGTGAAGCTATTCGATGATGATAAAATATGAGGTCGACTAAGCACTGCATAACATTTTCGGTAGGGTCTGCAGTAGTGTATATCTGCTAGCACCCATATCAATTTGATCTCCTACCCTTCCTACATAAAGCCATTCGACTCTCCTGTAGAGAAGAGAAACATCGCCTCACCAAATTAGTTGTTACTGTTGTCATTTTTCTTCTTTAAGATGTATTCCCACATAACAGTTTGTAATATATCTTCTAATATATAAATTTTAATATAAATTTAATATATACTAATTTGTTAATATTATAAACTGTTGTTTTCATTAGACCTAAATATTAGGTCTAATTTATTTTATAAATTATAAAATGACATGTCGATGTACGTCTAAAACGATGTGGGGAAAATGACATATAGTTGTATTGTTAAATAGAGATGAATGATATGGGGTAAATGACATAGATGTATATTTAACCGGAGATGAACAATGAGCGGAAAATGACATATAGATATACGGTTAAACAGAGGTGAACAATGCGTAGAAAATGAAATATAGCTGTATGTTTAGACAGAGATGAACGACGTGTGTACAATGACATGTAGAAGAACTGTTAAACTGAGATGAACGATGTGGGGAAAATGACATAGTTGTACGTTTAAAAACGGATGAACGACATGAGTAACATTGATCATTTATGTTATTTGATGCTAAGTTTTAGATTAGTATATATCTAGGAATTCACACGCTATGTCAAAGAATAATATTACTATACTTCATCCCACGAAAGTGTTTTAGTTAATAAAATTATGGCATTTGATTCACACCATGATATAACAATATAGTCTGCATCGAATTTAATATCAATAAGGAAACTTCTCTGATATTCTTGTGTAACACTGAGTGCAAAGGCTTTTTATATCATCTGGAATGAAGCCAGTACACATCGTGTGCAGAGTGTCGAAGGATAAAAATTCAACAGACAAAATGTCGAACGGACAAAGTGCCGAACGGAAAAAAAAAGAGTCGAATTGACTTATTGACGAAAGGCCAGAAATATGCCTACAAAAGAATAACTTTTACTTAATATGCAAGTTTCCTGTCGGTAAATAATTATTTTTATATTTTAAACCTCGTTTTGTATTATATGGTAGGCACCTATTTATAGTCGCTAATGAATATATTTGAGAAGACTCTCAATTCAATTTGGCAAAAAAATAAAGCGTAATAAACCTCCCCAACCCAAATTGGACCGTAAATTGATAATCATGGAGGTATCATCACTTTTAAGCCTATTATTCTATTAAATAATGCCAAAGTTAAGCAATAAAGTTTAAAATAGCTTAATTGATTATTTGAATCAAGTTTTTAAAATCATAATGAATTCAACAATTTTGAAACTTTGTCTTTTCAACATTTTATCCATTCGTCATTTTTGATACTTTGAACTTCCACACTATAATCGACTACCTTGCATATTGGAGTCATCAATGATCAACTGATCTTACAACAAAGATTCCTTATTTACATTAAATTCGATTCAGACAACCTGGTGTTTTCGAAGCTGGATACATCTTGGCCATCTTTACATATTTTAAAGTAAAACATGAATATACATATGCAACTTTTCCACAAATATTTATACAAGGTCGGGGATTTACTTTTCAGCAAGATAATGATGCCAAACATAAATCTAATTTAGTGACTGCGGGTCTTCAGAAAAAAAAGCAGATGACAGTTTCTGTCATGGTCTTCAGTGAGTTCTGATTTGAATCCTATTGAAAATATATAGCAAGAAATGAAAGTTCGAATAAATCGTCGGTCACCAAAAAACCTTCAGGAATTATAACATGTAACCATTGAAGAATGGAAGAAAATCACAGAAAAACTTGATCAAATCTTATCAAAAAACTTCAGAAAACGATTGCAGTAAGTTATAAATATGAGAGGCCAGTGCTATTGACCATTGATATTGTGAAAATTGTTCAATTTTTTTACTTTTTAAAACAGTACGAATAATTTTGTATTTTCCTATTTTGCATAATTCGCCTAATTTGTTGTGTTTAACCTATTGTCTTTAAAATTGAGTTTTATTTTTATTTATTTTATTTTATTTTTTACTTGTATTAATATATAAAAGCTCTGGCATAATACGTGCATTAAATTCTGAAAAATGAATAAAAAATATTCAAAATTGATGGGTGTAAGAATAATTTCGTCGTTGAATATATATATATATATATATATATATATGCATATTTGTAGATATATATACAGATATATAGATTTTATACATATATATATATATGCATATGCATACATATATATATATATATATATATATATATATACACACACATACGTATATATATATACACGCATATATACATACACTCATATATACATATGCATACATATGCATACATATATATACGCATATATTCATATACTTATATACATATACATACATATCACACTCAATATATATATGCACATACACAAATACATATAACTGTATTTGGGCAGAAATCCCTCTTTTATGCAAGTTTCGTTAAAAAGAATCTATATTAAAACTGAAGAAGCCCATGATTATGAAAATATTTATTTGTTAACATAATCTCCAATGCTTTCTGGAACATTAATTCCATCATTTTGGTTCAAAGCTGTCTTTAAACAACAAAGTTGATCATAGTATAGATTAGTTGTAATTGTTTGATTGTTATTTAACAGTTTGTAATGGGCAATTCTTTCAATTCTTTCCACCATACACTCAACATGATTATCTTTGGAGGAAGTCCTTCACTTAGTTGTTGAACTGATCTTCCTTTTCGACTGACTCCATGATCTGTGGCATTTAACATTATTGTAAAGGATACACTTCTCATCACTTTTAACAAACCTACCTAAAAATGGTGCCTCCAGGTGTCATGAAAGCAATGATTTATAACAAGCAACACACTGTTACAGATTCTCTGGAGATAGTTCTCTGTGGGATCTATTTCCCAACCACTAAAACCTTTCCGATCCTTTTTTAATTGGTGTACCATGGTTGTATGGTCTAAGTTAAATTGTTCTTCCAACACTTCAGAATCAAGTTTTTCTTGAATGACCCTCTTTTAATTCGTCTTTCAAACTGAAATCCTCACTTCGGAAATAGGAAAACCTCCTCCTGCGACTTTTTTCTTCATTCACTGCATCACCTTCATAAGCGCCCTGAATAGGTTTTGCTGTTGCACTTGCATTGACACCTTTTATGAAACTCATACAGTAAGATATGTCGAATGTGATCTTTAGATGGGACGAACATGGGTGTGAATATCGCGGAAGATCTTGAAAAATATTCTTATAACCTGAAAGAAAAAGATATAAATTACTTATTGTAACATTCCTTAATTAAAATGAGAAGCAGAAAGTTCATAAATACTATTTAAAACTCAAAAATCGGACATTACTTTTGCACCAACCTGATATATACAGACATCTTTCTGGTAGGGTTGCATTCACAGCAGTGAAGCTGGAGGTAGTTGACACATTTGCATACTATGTGTCAACTACCTCCAGCTTGACTCCATTAACGAAAATGTGGATCAGCCTGGATCCATTAACGAAATATATACTATTGTGTATATTTACTTACAATGTGGTGAATAAATCTCGAATCATATAGAACATCTCGCACATACATACATATTTCTAATAAGAAAAGATATTATCAGCTGAAATTCACTTTGTATACATATCATCTTACTACAATTCTGCTTGTCTCTCACTTAGTTCCTTAGTTAACACGAACGCTGCGTTGCAATATTTCATAGATAATGAACTATTTCGTTTTGATCATGTGACAAAACGGAAAAGAGACGCTACTTGGTTTCAGTGAAAAAAAAAAAAAAGAACGAAGGGAAAATGTTGTTAAATTGAAATCTTTTCATTTGTATCCCCTTACTTCTTTAAATAACGACTAGCATTCAGATTTATGATTATTATTGCAATATTTTGTTGAAGTTTTTAAGCTCAAATATTTAACGACGCGATTAGGAAATTTCTACGGATAATTGATTGTCGTAGAAATCGCCATAAGCTTATTCAGTCAATAACTTAAAAATTAAGATTCATCAGAAAATGATAATTAAAAAAAGCATGAAATTTTCTAGGGTATTACTAGTATAAACAAATATTGGAAAATTTACCAACACCAATTGGATAATACTATTCTTGGGAAAACATTGACTCGCATCATAAAATCTGACATAGTCTGTTCATATCTATCATTTTATCTACTTAAAATTATTCAGTCCGTCTGTTTCTTTCTTTCTCAGTATGTCCATATCTATCTTTGTTCCTATCTATCTATCTATCTATCTATCTATCTATCTATCTCAGTTTGTACATATTTATCTATCTCAGTATGTACATATATATTTATCTATATATCTATCTCTGTACATATATATCTGTTTCATTCTGTACATATCTGTCTATTTAAATATTAGTGTCAGTCTGTACATATCTATCTATCTATCTATCTATCTATCTATCTATCTATCTATCTATCTATCTATCTATCTATGTATTTCAGTCTGTTCATATCTATCTATCTATCTATTTCAGTCTGTTCATATCTATCTATCTATCTATCTATCTTATCTATCTATCTATCTATCTATCTATCTATCTATCTGTCTGTCTGTCTGTTTAAGTCTGTACATATCTATCTATCTATCTATCTATCTATCTATCTATCTATCTATCTATCTATCTATCTATCTCAGTTTGTTCATATCTATCTCAGTTTGTACATATCTATCTATCTATCTATCTATCTATCTATCTATCTATCTATCTATCTATCCTCAATTTGTTCATATTTATCTCAGTTTGTACATATCTATCTATCTATCTATCTATCTATCTATTTCAGTCTGTTCATATCTATCTATCTATCTATCTATCTATCTATCTATCTATCTATCTATCTATCTATCTATCTATCTATCTATCTCAGTTTGTTCATATCTATCTCAGTTTGTACATATCTATCTATCTATCTATCTCAGTTTGTTCATATCTATCTCAGTTTGTACATATCTATCTATCTATCTATCTATCTATCTATCTATCTGTCTGTTTAAGTCTGTACATATCTATCTTTCTCGGTTTCTATCTATCTATCTATCTATCTATCTATCTATCTATCTATCTATCTATCTATCTATCTATCTATGTATTTCAGTCTGTTCATATCTATCTATCTATCTATCTATCTATCTATCTATCTATCTATCTATCTATTTATCTGTCTGTTTAAGTCTGTACATATCTATCTTTCTCGGTTTATATCTATCTATCTATCTATGTATTTTACTCGGTCGATTCACATCTAGCTCGCTAGCTCAGTGGTTTTATACGAATTTTGGCAACAAAAATTATTACATGTTCTTCTTTAATGACAACTGTTTTAACGGTAGAAGCCCACGAAGTGAATACAAAACTATCGACTGTTTTCTTTCTTCTCCGTCTTCTTTAATTACAAGATATAACTGAAAGACAACATTCATACCAGGTATAAACCCCAGAATTCCAGAGACTCAATCTTCTTATTTCGCTATTTTAGGCTGATAAAATATAATTCTCAATAAATATTAGTTTCCTTAAAGTTTTAGAATTCTTCGTTGCTAATATGTTCTGTCCATCGTATTTTTAGAATTTATCAGTAAAACAACATTTCTTTTGCTCCTACTCTTTTCGTCTACGAAAACATTTTCAACATTCGTTGCCTTATAGAAGATTAAATATGACATAGCAGTTCAGTACACTTTTCTTTTATTGTTCTCATCTTGATTGATATAAATGTTATTATAGCCGCGTTTCGACCAAGTACCTTGTTGTCATCATCAGGTGTCCATTGATTAACTGATATGAGATATCTGTTAATTATTGTCCCTGTGATATCAATTATTGTCCATTCCTACTGAATTATGGAGTCACTACCAGATCCAAGGATTGAACTAGATGGCAATTAGATAACAGTAACATATTTATAACCAACTTCTATATCCACTACGCCACCGTTCCGAAGCACATGAGTGGTTTATTTTTTAAGCCTTTCTATATTCAAGGAGGCACGGTGGAGTAATGAATAACGGCTCGGAATCGGAGAGCCGAGTTCGAATTCCAGTCATATCCACTTACGTGCTAATACCCTTGGGAAAGGTATGAATTCTCTTCTTGTCCTCCCAACTATGGGTAAATAGCAGGACAGACCGGGTTCTATAGCCTTGGATGTCAACTGGTCTACCGCAGAAAGAAATGGCAACGTACTGCGAGAAAAATCTGCCCCCTCAGTCATGTATCGAAAGATAAATGATCGCCTAAGTGTGTATCGCGCATGGCACATAACTGATTATATTCAATATCAGATGGTTTTTAATCATTTGGTTATGATAGTGGGTTCGTACCGCTTTTCTTAATTTACTATTTTATTTCTGAGGAAAGTAATTGTCATTGTTCTTGTATTGTTCTCATGTTGCTTGATATTGATGTTATTTTACCTGATGATGACCAGAGGATACTTGGTCGAAACGTTGTGTTTACACAACTAATCCAAGATGAGAAAAATAGTTCGGAATAATACAAGAAACCCGTTTCGTTGTTTATTATAATATTTTCCTGTTTTTTTGTTTTTTAGATATTTTTAGGTTTTGTAAGGCACATTTTGCTGTTCTTATTCATCTAAGAAGTAAGTTTTAGGGCAATTAAAATCAGTTTTATTGGTGACGAGAAAATATGAGGAACGCTCTAATTCTTTCAAACGTGGTAATCCATACTCGAATAATAGCATGTATACACCCGAGCTTAGAGGCTTCTTAATCATGTATTACTTTTCACTTTCGCCCCATCATCATTGGAAAACTACTGTCCATAGGTTCGTGACCCCAAACAAGTTCTAGGTTAGCAGATCAGAATACTATGTTGAATGAAACAAAGCTGTTATTGGATGTTTTTTGTTTAGCGGCATATCAAAAATTTGCAGGTTATTTAATGCAGACATCTAAATATATATATTTTTGAAAACAATAATGATTTAGTGGCACAAATTTTACTAATTAATCCGTAGCTGAGGGATAATAGGTGGATTAATACGTTTCTCAAGGGTATTTGCTCGGAAGTAAATATAACAAGCCCAACTGGAAAATTCTGAACCATTAGACATTACACCACCCGCACCTTATATTTCCAAGCGGTCACCCATCTAGGTAATGACCAGGCTTCACGTTGCTTAGCTCCAGTGATCATACGGGAACCGGAGTCTTAACGTGATGTGGTCGTATGCCGAAGCAAAGCTGTGATTGATTAACTGTTTTTAAGATGTCATCTTGCAAAGTACACCATCTTTGAATGTGTCCTGATTCGAAAAAAGTCATCCATAAATATTCTCTAACGTCCTGTTCCTGTTTGAAGCACTTCTTCTTCTTCTTCTTCTTCTTCTTCTTCTTCTTCTTCTTCTTCTTCGTCGTCGTCGTCGACTTCTTTTTCTTCTTTGTCTTCCCTTTCATCTTTGACTTCGTCTTCTTTTCCTTCTTTTTCTTCGTAATCGTCAACTTCTTCCTAATCTTCTTCGTCTTCTTTCTAATCTTCTTTTTCCTAATCTTCTTCTTTTTCTTCCACTTCTAAAACAGGAATACTATGACAGCTCTTTGTTTTCAAGGTATCGCCAGAGTTGTAGCCATTTTGAAAGAAAATTATGGATAGGAAAAGTGTAAGTAACGTTACAAATCCTCCTCCCGGCTTCCAAAGGATGATATGTTTTTAAAAAAAAAGCTTTGAGAAATTTGATTAATAATTTAAATAAAGACAGTTAATACCTTTTGATCGAAGCTCGTATTTCTCGTTCACTATCAAATGGGCGTGATTACAATAACAAATAGAAACGAGATCTGCCAAATGTAACACGTTCAAATATATCAAAGGATTTTCCGGAATTGTGTCCCAACAGATTGGCGAAAGTTGTTCTTCATAAATTGATGAAATATCAAATCAAATGTATAGGCACTTAAATCCTAGATTTAATAAAACTTACACAAATAATTGAATCAGGATAAATTCAATTGAATTTTCTTTTTGCCATTGTTCAAAGGATATTTCTATAATCAATTTTGAATGTATTTCTGTTTTAAAACTTTATTGCATGTGAATATGTTAGCCTAATTGATTTGAGTAAATATATATTTTGCTGGTTTCATTGGAAATTAGCGTAATGATAAAGGGTAAAACTTCTGCTCTGGCTACTTAATAATTCACGTTCAACTTCCTTCGTTGCTTAGTAATTCAGGCTCAATGGCTCTGGTGTCTGATGTTTCAGAACGACTAGCCTTTGATTCTTGGGGATTCAATTCCACTGGCTTTTGATGTTTGGTGTGTCGGGGTTTTTGATACCTGCTGATTCAAGCTCACGTTTCTTCGATGCCTAATTGATTCTGCGCAAAGAAACTTGATGCTTGGTGTTTCAGGTTCACCTCCCACATTAGACAAATCTTCAAAAATATGACTTGAACAACATTTTAAAAAATAGCAGTTGACATTTTGGTGATTCAGGTCCACCAGTCTTTGATGCTTGGTGATAATGGCTTTTATTAGATGTCAGGAAAGTTTTAAAGTGAGGATATGAAAATATGTTTTATTGAGGTGTATGAAATTATTTTCATTTTTTAAACATGGGAAATATCTAGAGCAGAGTTTCCCAACCTGGGTGAAATCGCCCTCCGGTGGGCGATTTCAACTGTTGGGTGAGCAATGCGTAACTTAACAGAAAATGATAGGTAAATGGAAATTTTGATTGGCTATTAAAAAGGCATCTTAACATATGCTACTCGAAAAAAAAATATTCAAAAGAGATATTCAAAGAACCTGTATAAAAGAAAAATCAAGATGCTAAATGAAAATATCTGGATCACATTCTGAGATAAAATATAAATATCACCGTAACAAGAAATATTTTGGTTTTTCGACTGTTTTGTGGAGGGTCATTAACATTTAAATAATTCTTCAATATCAGATATAAAAATTATACGCTGAATTTTTATTAGTTGTTTATATTCTTTTTTTAATTTTATAATTATGAACAAAAATTGTACGTCCTGAGTAAGACAATAAACTACATCCGACAGCAAGGTTTTGAGGAGCATGGAACCAATTCTTAATTACTGGTGTTCCCAGGTCTAGCCTGACCTGGGGTGGTAGATAGGGGCAAATAGTTGATCCCTAAACTGTTGTCAAAACACTATGAAAGTGTAAAAATATCAGGTCATCCCATAAGTTCTGTCCGAATTTTGAATAAAGAAAACAAGTGACCAAATGTTACATTTAATTACAGATTCAATCAACAATGTATTTTCCCTGATTATCTATGACTTCCTTCCATCTATTAACAAGCTTACTAATTCCATTACTGTAAAATTCTTTTGGTTTTGATTCGAAGAACTCACAAATGTCAGTTTTAACCTCTTCCTGTATTACAAAAGTTGTTTCTTCCAAATGATTCTGTGAGCTACGAAATAAATGGTAGTCTGAAGGAGCAAGATCGGGAGAATAAGGTGGATGAGGAATTTTGAAGTTCCCTTCTCAGCTGTGGCTGGGGTCATTCCCCTTTACCAAGCCACTGTCTACGACGCTTAACATTTCGATAAAAGATCCATTTTTCGTCGCCAGTCACAAGTCTATCCATAAAAGGTGAAACAAGTTGGCGAGAATGGAGAGAAGAGCAGATGTCAACTCGGGATTTGAGGTTGTTTTCAGACAATTCATGAGGCACCCATTTTCCAAGATTAGGAACTTTTCCAAGTTGTTGAAGATGACGATGAACAGTTGTATGGTTTGAACTGAGAACCACTGCCAATTCCTCAACTGATAAACCAAGATTTTCTTCAAGGCTGCTTCAAGAAGCTTTTCATCAAACTCAACTGGACGTCCGGTTCGATCTTCATCTTCAACGGTAAAATCTACACCTCTGATTTTTGCAAACCATCTTTTGCAAGTTCTTTCATTCACACATTCCTCTCCATAAACTGAGTGAATGTTTCTAGCCGCTTCGGCTGCTGACTTTCCTTTCTTGAACTCATAAAGCATTATGTGCCTCAAATGATTCTTGGGTACTTCCATGTTAGCAGGGTTTTAATCAAACAAAATTTAATTTTATTGTTCTCTGAAATAAAATTTGATCAGTTTAAATGCATCTAAACATAAAAATAATGTTCAGCTCCATTAGACATTATAAAATACTCTTTAAATTTCGTTCATTTTAACAAAATTAAAATTCGGACAGAACTTATGGGATGACCTGATAGGTTTTAATACTAGTTACTTTGTAAAAAGATTATTACCAGGAATAAATCTTAGAAAGAAAAATGTATAAAGTTTGCTACAGGAATACATTTCAATGTAGCGGTGAGTTCGTGGAAAAAGAAGTTAGAAGAAGGTTACCATTTTGTAAGAATGTCTTTAGACAGTGGACACTTGTTGAAATGCTTCTACACGGAGGGATACAAACGTATAAAAAATGTTCGAATAATAAAATAGACAAATGTAGAGAGAAAAGGTATTAAAAGTTACAAACCGGTGATGGTTAACATTGGGGGTGAGATTGGGAGGATGATAAAACTACCAAACATGTATTTGGTGTCATGCTTTATGGTGAGGGGTTCCGGTGATATACTAAGGGCTAACCGGAAGTGACCAATCTAAAAGGTATCTAAACTACAAAAGGGATAAACAAGTGAAGAGTAAAAAAAAAATACAGATTCTGTAATGTGGTAACAACATAAGTCTTAAAACTAAATAATATATATAGTTTTCAATGGACAAATTTGCTTTCGATTGTTCATTATTACGATTGTAGCAGCGTTAAATATTACCGCCCTTTGGTATTTTTACTACATTATAAAGTCAATTGACTAACTAGTTACAAACCTTTATCAAACAATTTTGGTATGCTTTTGAATATTTACTATACAGATGGTCGATGGAAATTTTTGCCATGTGAAAGTGGGCAATGCCGCCAAAAATATTGAGAAGCCCTTTGCGATTGGCTGTTTTCAAACTTAAGTAATGCTCGACTTAGTGCTATATTTCTCACAGAAATTTCCAAATAACATTTACACTCGGTGTTTTAAGTCTATTTCCGTCTTTTTATGGGAAAGAGAGAGATTTTTTTTATAAATAATTTTTTCAAATGTATTTTATAGGATAAAATGTAAAAACCTGGGATCGATCTCAACCTCGGACATATTAAGTTATACTCAACCGAATATTAAATGTCAATTTCTACAACTCGACGACATATGATATGCAATGATCTGCACTTGAAGGTGGATGCCTGTACATAAATGCTATTTATGGAAATAAAAGTGGCAATGAAATTATATATATATATATTGTCAGGCTTCTCTTCTGTTTTCCCCTTTGACTTACTCTGGACATTTCAAATTGCACCTGAATCAGATGGCATAGGTAAAATGAATTTTCTCTTGGGAAAACCATAATTATCATAGCGTCAGAAATGCCTTTCTCTTAACAAAAGCAGAGCGCATGCTCGAGGGACACAGATATTTAATGAAGTGTCCATTCGTGCAAATGCACTCGAAGGAGATTCCGAGCGGTAATATAATCATTGTTGTTGTTGTAAATATTATTGTTTTCTTTTATTCTACACTTTGAACATAAAAGACCAGAGAAATATTTATTATATAGTTCAATAGAAGACTAAGAAAGGGGAAAATTTGAAGTTGGACGTTGGTATAACCTTGAACTTTTCAGTCAGAGACTTGAAAACTGACTTCGGAATTTTTACTATTACTTGTTTTTAAACACCAAATCAGAAACATATATATATATATATATATATATATATATATATATATATATATATATATATATATACAGTAGCGTCCAAAACTAAGGGATAAAATTTCAAAACCTAATATTTGTTAGAAATAACAACTGTGAAAAGCTGAAATTTTGACAACTGGTAGTCGTTATCATCCATAATAACATACTAAAATTTGAATCATTTGCAAAGGATAGAAAAAGAATTATAACAATTATTTATTTATTTTCAAAATAGGATTGTCCAAAAGTAAGGGACAAAATTGAGAAAAACAATGTAAACAGTATGCTATATTCAAATTTTTTGATTTCCTCTAAAGAATATGTCTTACTTAGTCATTTGTAAACGTTGCATCAGCCAAAAAAAATTTGTAAACGTTGCATCAGCGAAACGCCAAAAACTTGATTACTCTGTGAGACAAGCTATTGTGAAGCTACACAAGGAAAAGCCCACCATTAGAGAGATTTCAAAACGTTACAAGAGTGTTGTAGGCAGGGTTGTTAAATCCTACAATGATACTGGCAAAATAGTTAGTGCTTTTAAAACCGGCAGACCCCGCAAAACTTCGGCAAGAGAAGATCGAATAATGCAGCGTATGTCATTAAAGGACCGTTTTAAGTCTTGCACAGAAATTAAAAGGGATTTAGGCAGCAATCCTTCTTTCATTCACATTTCATTGAAAACGACACTCAAGGTGCTTTTATTTAGTTTTTTTATACAATTTCTCATATGATCTAATAATCTGAAAAGAAAAAAAATTATGAGATCGCATGAGAAATTGTATAAAAAAAAATAAAAACACCTTTGTCTGTCGTTTTCAATGAAATTTGCATATATATATATATATATATATATATATATATATATATATATATATATATATATATAAAGTATATTTACAACTGAAAAAGTTTATTACAAAAGCAAATGAATGAGCAAATATGTGGAAATTTTAACAAAATAAGGAGTAGATATTGAAGCTTTTTTAACCAATTTAATACACCTCTATATGGGCAACATTAAATTGTAAAAATACTTTATGTACATCCTATATACATATATATACTATTTTATTTTATATTTCATCTACTTTTTGATAATATACTTACAAATAAGTCTGCAATAAATCTGCAGTTATTTTGGTGTTGCTTCTAACACCAACATCTATTCTTCAAAATAAAGTCCATCATTCTAGGCGATCTTCTGCCAGCGATCATCTAGCATCCCAATCTGTCCTAGATACCAGTCCGCTGGCTTTGGGTAAAAGAAAAAAAAACTGTAAAGAAGCTTCATCAAAAGTGTTGAATCACGTCGTGGAAGGGGAATAGTTATTCGGGGCAGCATAGGGATTGAATGGTGGATGTGGAAGAATCTCCACACCGTCCATCTGTTTGAACTTAGTCAACCTGGCAGTTTGTGGCCTTGCATTGTCTTGTTGACACAAACCCCGACCACATTTGATCAAAGCAGGCTACTCCTTCTTTAGTTTGTCGTACATGCGGTCGAGCTACTGGCAAAACAGCTTAATGTTGATGGTGCAGCCGTATAAAACAAACTCGGAATACACTACTCCTTGGAAATTCCACTAGACAGAGATGAAGATTTGGTGTTTTCTTTCCGCTTCCGAAGTGTTATATACCGTACCTATGCACACTAATGGGTATGTCCCAATCCTCATAAATACGTTGCGCACTATTGTACGTGAGTGCGATATCCTCTCTAAGTAGTCCACCATTAGCAGTGGTTTACCTACTTAACGCCGCTGGCGAGTATTGTATTTTGTTGATGTTATAAAGATTACTACTTCATTTCCAACCTCCATTTTGGTTATCCCTCATTTAGTAACCCTTCCAAGGTTACAACACTAAGTGAATCAGGACTTTCTAGCGAACCTAATAATATATATATATATATATATATATATATGTGTGTGTATGTGTGTGTGTGTATTTGTGCGTGTGTTTAATAATATTAATATTTATTGTTTGTTTATCTTATATTCACATTATATTGTTTTCTAGATTATTTTGTTATTTAATTTTTTAATGTCAAACGTTAAATGCCAAATAAATCAATCTATGTTTTTTTTCAAACTAACCACAATATGCCCATATATATAATTTATTCTTCCTTTTCTTCTTTCCCCACTTTTTTTCCTCACACTCTTGCTTCCACATTTGCTTTCTTATATATTTGCATCTCTACTTATTAACTACGTTAATGTCTGGTCCTTACCCCCCCTCTCTTGCCCTTAGGTATCTTAATAAAAATAGATTTAAAATTATTCCTATCTCTCCCTTCCCTCTCTAATTTCGACCATATCTTTCGTACTCCTCCTCCCCCTCTTTCTATCACTTTACATCAACTTAAACTACCCCTCAAAAGTGTATAAAAATAATACGTAAATTTAAAACCATTTTTTTACCCTTGGAAATGTGATCTGATGAACCATGAAAAAAAAACACCTACCTGGAGAAATAGAATATAATCAACGGACCCTTAATGTTGTCAGTTTTCTAATTAAATTAAATTAATAGTTTCTCTGATTTGGCATTGAGCTCTCTGGATTATATCCTCCTTGGGATTATCCATACAGATTACCAAATTCTTCACCTACCTACCTACCTACCTATATATATATATATATATATATATATATATATATATATATATATATATATATATATATATATATATATGAATGATAAAGTGGAAAAAGGTTTCTTGTTACGCGTTTCGTTATTTAGGACTTCATTGGACTAAATGTATTGTTGATGCAATTGCACATGCGCCCGAGCAAGGGCTGTCTGGAATATTAGATAACCCACACTGATAAGTTCGGAGTAACCTATCAAAGTACAGACCTGTCTAAATGCTGCTTATCTTCGGCGATCGTACGGGAATTGCTGTTTCAACGTGATGTGGCCATAAGCCGTTCCTAGATAGGTGACCGCTTGTGAATACCAGGTGCTGTAATTTGGAATTGTTAATCAGAAAGCCGAGTTCGAATACCAGTTAGGTTCGTTATATTCCCTTAGGCGTAAAAGTCCTTGGGAAACATCAGGACAATTAGCATAGAAATAAAACATATTTTCTTTTTCAGATCTCCATTCAAATTATTTATTGAATCCTTTATTTATTAACAAATTATTACTTCTTATATTGGTAATGGGGTGTAACTGTTTCAACATGGAAGACAAATATTAAAATTCTAAATTAAGAAGAATTCGATATAATAGGAAGAAAAAAATTAAAATTAAAAAGTGAAGATTTTAGTAAACAATTAAAAATGTATTCCTATAAATTCATTCTTCTTATCACTTCTTACATATTAACCCTCAAATGATGCGAAAAGTTTGCATATTTGTGTACGCAAAAAGGGTAAAAAAAACAAAAAAAATCATTTTTAAGGGTCAGTTTTATGTCTAATTTAGCTTTAAAGTAAGTAAAAAATAATTTTAACTCTTATAAATTATATAAATAAACAAATAAGGAAAATAAAACATATGTTATGTTCTTAGATTTAATATTGTAACTAAATTTCTTGAGGCAATCTCTGCAGAATTGAGTTGTACTCATTTTTCGCTTCTTTTCTCTTCGAGAAGTATCCATGCATATCTAGCACTGTTTTTGGCTTATTATTCCAGTTGGGGTGGGGGGTTGCAGGCAAATACTCCAAGAAATGATGTAACCTAATGAATCCTAGAATTGCAAATTAGTCACTTAAACTTAAATCATGAATGAATTCTGTCTGTAGATTTGGAAAAGGTTTAAATCATCAATTGATGAAATTCTCAAATCTCCAATGAAACATTAAATCGTCATTTAATAGTTAAAAGTTTTCATATTATTAAATTACAAACAAATTTTACCAGAGAATGGTGAGTGGCTTAACAAAAATTCTTCATCCTGGTTCGAATTTCTGCATTTGATTAGAGACCTTCATCAACGAAAACTTCGGCTTGCCCTCAATTCTCTGACACTTGGGCTAAATCAATAACCGTCAAGTGGTTAAAAAGTCCGGAAACAAATTTTTCAAAGAAGTTCGTAAATGCGGCTTATTGTATTATTCCCGCTTACCCCGTTTGAGCGGGTTTCATCGATCTCCGGACCCAACTGTTGACAATGCCTTTCCATCTCGGTAGGAGATGAAGATTAAATCATTATTCTGATGGCAAAAACTGGTTGTTATAGGAACGTAACTTTTAGCGTGTTCTTCATTATCAGTTTAGACACGTCTCACCTGCTATGGTTCTAGCAGGATGTCGTTTACCAAAGATAGGCATCAAGCAAGATATATATGGATTTGTTTCTTGTCTATTCCGATCAGCAGTCACTAGTTCCTGCATTACTTTGAATTAACCGCCGTCAAAGATCTACTTCGTCAATTCTTTTATTCTGTCTCTCTCTTCTTCTTCTTCTTCTTCTTCTTCTTCTTCTTCTTCTTCTTCTTCTTCATCATCATCATCATCATCATCTCTTTCTTCCTATTTGTCTCCTTTACTTTTTTATTCGCTGTTTTTTATTATCTTCTTCATCTTTTTAGTATTCTTTTCCTTTTCTATCATTTTGGGATTTTTCTTTTTTTTTTCTTTTTTTTTTTTTGCCTCCAAACAATCGAATGTATATATATTTATTTTTATCTGGGATTGTGGTTCTTTCCTTGTCACGCAACGACACGCACCAAGTGAAAGATGGCTTAATGGCTACCAACTTGAAAAACGGCACTGAGTACGAAATGTGATCCAGACTGCTGATATCATTTTCGCAAAGGTACCACAAGAAAAGGCATGAACATAACATTGCCTTTCATCTCCACACACAAGCACACACACATACAAATATATGTTGTATTATCATTAGTATAGTAAACAGTAAAATTAGTACTTATGAATCTAATTGAGGATCTAAGTATTCGTTTCTTTGTTACCAAAGAAATCAAGTACTGAGCTATTACGTGACATTTGTTCTTCTTTATGGCAGCCAATGTTGGACGATTTCCTCAACGATGAAGAAGAGACTCGAGGCGACAGGGATGTGGTTCTACAGAAGGATGCTGAGGATATCATGGACCAAACATGTGAGCAACGACAGGATGCAAACAAGGACGAAGCTTATACTTAACATCAGGAAAAGGCAGCTGAAGATTCTAGGACACATAGTGAGGAAGGAGGGCCTGGAGAATCTGATACTCACAGGTAGCATAAAGAGAAATAGAGACATGGGAAAACAGCGCGTGACATACCTGATGAGTTTGAGCAGGTGGGTGACAGAACGTGGTCTGGAGGGGGAGCATAGTGAAGGAACCTGTTGAGAGCTGCAAGGGATAGAGGGAGGTGGAGAGCCATGATCGCCTACGTCCTGAAAGGACATGGCACATAAAACGAAAAGATGCATTACCTAAGATCAAAGTTTCACTCATCGGCTCTATACATAGGATCAGTGAAGTATCCGTAGGCATGCCTCAGTTTCTAACGAAATCTTCCTGTTCCTTAATACTTTGCTTAACTTTTCGAGGGCATCTTTTTACCAATGACTATATAAAAAACAGATATTAAAAAAGCCGAGAGCATGTTAATAATTGTTGGTCGTAAATGACTGAATGATTATTTTGATTTGTACGTTAAAAAATCTGTTAGCAAAAATAAAGAATGACAAGATTAAATACATGTGAATGATTTGAGAACACATCAGATTAGAATACAGTATTTACATTGTTCGGACTGTTGTCTTCATCTTTGTTGCCATATTCACGACGATTCGACCATTGTACCCCCCCCCCGGCCATATCCGGGTGATTCGAATATCGAACTGAACCCTTTATTACGTCCAACGGGATAGATCGTTCTTGTTCCACGTACCATGCCACTTCTGGATATCTCAGTATCAGTTATCTCCCTTTTAACTCAACTCTCCATGTTTTTGTTCACTTCCTCCGTAGGCAGATATTGAATTCATCAATCTTTGGGTCAAGTCACTGGATTCAACCAACGCTCTTATCCACTAGAACATGAGGAACTAGAAAAGTGGTTTTCAACCAGGGTTCCGCGGAACCCTAGCGTTCCGCCAGTAAAGCCCAGGGGTTCCGCAAGAAGTTACACAAGTACTATCATTGAACAGTAATTTTTAATTCTCCTGTGCAGATATGTGTTGAAGATGAACTTTCTGTGTATCTGTCAAAAACACGACCCAATATTAAAGATTTGTGCAAGAAACATCAGGCTCAAGTTTCTCATTGAATTTTTAATGAAAATAAACTTTAAACTGAAGTTTTTAAAACATGTGTAATAACCGTAGAAGCAAGATTAAAATTACTTATGTACGTATACAATATTTTTACAGTTTGTCTTTGTATTTGTTTGTAAATAAATCTGAAGATGAGTATTTTTATTTTATTTTAATAATTGAAGCTGTTTTTGCATAAGACAATTTATTGCAGGGGTTCCTCGAGTCACTGGAATGTTTCCTTGTGGTTCCGCTCCAGCAAAAAGGTTGAAAACCACTGAACTAGAACAATCTACTCAGTGGATGAAATAAAGGGGTCAATTCGAAATTCCAGTCACCTGAAGAAGGCCGGAGCGTACAACAGTCGAAATGTCGCGAATATGGCAACGGAGATGAGAACAGCACTCTGAACAATGTAAATAGTTTAAATAATTACAATCCATCATCTCAGAAATATAGACAGATATTAATTAGAATATTTTATGAAATAATGACAGGACTTTATCTTCTAACTTCTTTAAAAATGTCTTTATTCTTTCTCCTTTTCTGAGGGCCAGTGCCAATAGGGAGTATTTTTGTCTTAATTCTGACCTTCCTTCTTCTCACTAAAATAAAAAGACGATAGCTCTGCCCGCGGCAAATTGAGCGACTCATGGGCCGGCACATCTTCACTATTGGCCAAGGCTGCTTGGATAAGTTTTGTTTTATGAGGTTATCATTGCTCGATGGATTGACAACCGAAGCTGAAAAGCTTCTAACTGCCTATTAGTACACCATCAGTTCTTCTCGCCGAATAATACTCTTCACACGTCCCTCCCACGGAAATCTTTCTGGCGATGATTTTCGTCTTAATCCTCAATTCTTTTTCATTATCCACAACGATACATTGTCGTGAAGGCAGATCGTGAAGAACATCCATTATTTTCATTAGCAAAGCGCTTAACAATTGCAACACTGCGAAGAAGCACAAACTCACTGGCCAGTGCTTTGTTATTCAACCTGATTTCCTCTACAGTCAACGTTGCCACTTATCTATGTCAGTCTTCTAATTTCTATCTGGATCAATCTTTATCTAGTATCAATTTTATCTTCTCTTTAATCGAAGTCAAGCCATATCTGCTTTCATCCTTAACTTAAGACATATCTCATATAACTCAGTTCTTTCTTATCAATGTTCTCATTTATCGCATTTTTTTTCCTAAAGCAGTGATTCCCAAACGGTGACCATAGGTATGCGACCGAAGAGGATAGCCGGTGAGGCGGAATGATCGTAAGACTAAGATTTAGAAATAATTTCAAAAAAATTTATATGACAAAAATAAATATGATTTCAAAATTGAAAACATTATTATGGACTAGCAGTATAGCCCGGCGTTGCCCGGGGATGTAACAGTAAAAGATAGATCAAGTATCTACCATCATAAAGACTGAAAAATAAAATTGACAAAGATTATTGTTTAAGGTTGACGGACACGCATGTCTTAATTAGTTTTTTTTTTTTTTTTTACGAATTGGTCAAACCCAAACTGAAACAAAAACATTGTTTTCAATCGTTATGAATCCATCGATTGAATAGAATTTTATTATAAACAATTGTCTTGTAAATGGAATTTTTAAAGCATTCTGAATGTAAAAATAAAGAAAAAAGTTTGCAAGACAATAAGAAACACTACATGCCAAAAAAAAGTGAAGTTTTGTCGAAATCGGTTGAAAAATGTTAGGAGATCCGATCCCATATATAAACGAACACACACACACACACACACAAAGAAACAACCTGGGTTTTATAATAAGTATAACTCGATATGAGTTGTCCCCTTTAATTCCGCAAAAGCGATGCTTCTTAATCGTGTTTTCAAATTGATTTCGTGCAAAAACAATTGTGTTTTTCCAATTTTTGGCGCTGTCAGAACCACCGCAAGATAATTTTACGCAGTCCTGTGAAGTTTTGTTGAAATCGGTTGAAAAATGTAGGAAATCCGATCCAATATATAAACGTACAGAGACACACACACACACACACACACACACACACACACACACACACACACACACACACACACACACAACCAACCAACCTGGGTTTTATAATAAGTATAACTCGATAACTCGATATTAATAAGTATAACTCGATATGAGTTGTCCCCCTTACAGTAATGCCTCTTAATCGTGTTTACAAATTGATTTCGTGCAAAAACAATTGTGTTTTTACAATTTTTGGCGCTGTCAGAATCACCGCAAGGTAATTTTACGCAGTCCTGTGAAGTTTTGTTGAAATCAGTTGAAAAATGTAGGAAATTCGATCCAATATATAAACGTACAGACACACACACACACAATCTGCGTTTTATAATAAGTAAGATTACTTGTAAATGCATGAGTCCCAGTATAAATTTTTATCAATGTGTTTTGTTTTTTTCTTGCATTATATCAAGTATTAAGAATATAGTAACTAGGGTCAGAAAATTGGAGGAGAGAGTTATCAATGATAATGTCCTGACTTCCGCATCCGCATTTATCTCCCTTATAGCCTCTGTTTTGTTTTTTTGTCTTATTTTTAAATGTACTTTTTATCACATAAAAATTAGTGAGTCCCAATCAATTTTTCATTCTGAAATTGCGGCACAAAGAAAAAAGGTTAGGAACCACTTAAATTTTCTCTAAGTCAGTTCTTTTCATTTGTTTTAGTTTTTCTCTCTTATCTAAATCAGTTCTTGTCATTTCAGTCAGTTCTCTTTTCTCTAAGTCAGTTCTTAGCATTATCTGTCAGATCTTTTGTTTTCTAGAAGACATTTCTCAGTTCTTAAGCACAAAAGTATTTAATCTCGAGATTAATTTCCTTTGTTGATTATCTCGAATTTGATTTAATAATATTCACCGACTCAATTAGCGTAAGTTTAACTATAGAACAATAAGCCTGATTAACTACCGCAGCAAGTTCATGTTCCGTATTGTCGTCAAATCGTTCGAAATCCAAGGTTAAAGAGCAGGCAGATTATAGAACCGGACGGGACACAGTGGAACAAATTCTCAACTTTAGGATCATCATCGTGATAAATCTGCAAAACCAGAGGGACCTGTTCTACAATTTCATTAATTTCAAGAATGGTCTGTAGCCCTTCCCCAGAGGATTCAACTTAGATGAAGTGCTTATACAAATCATCCAAGATCTCTCTGACCTTGCCGCCAAGCGAGAAATTTCTTCCAGACGACTATTTCTAACATTATTCAACATGTTCCTGGAGGGAATTATGCAGAAAACCCTCAA